TTATTTCACTTGGTATAATACCTTCTAGTTCCCTCCATGTTGTTGCAAATGGCAAGATTTCATTATTTTTTTAAATTTATTTTATTATGTTATTTAATCACCATACATTACATCATTAGTTTTTGTTGTAGTGATCCATGATTCATTGCTTGCGTATAACACCCAGTGCTCCATTCAATACGTACCCTCTTTAATACCCATCAGCAGGCTAGCCCATCCCCCTACCCCCCTCCCCTCTAGAACCCTCAGTTTGTTTCTCCGAATCCATAGTCTCTCATGGTTCATCTCCCCCTCCAATTTCCCCCCCTTCATTTTTCCCTTCCTACTATCTTTTTTTTTAATTTAATTTTTTTCATTTTATTTTATTATACACAAACAATGAATCATCGAACACTACATCAAAAACTAATGATGTAATGTATGGTGATTAACATAACATAATAAGATTCTTTTCTGATGGCTGAGTAATATTCTATATATACACACACACCATATTTTCTTTATCCATTCATCTATCAGTGGACATATGGGCTCTTTCCATATTTGGCTAGCTATTGTGGACATTGCTGCTATAAACATTAGGGTGCAGGTGCCCCTTCAAATCACTATGTTTGTCTCCTTTGGATAAATACCTAGTAGTGCAATTGCTGGGTTATAGGGTAGCTCTATTTTTAACTTTTTGAGGAACTCCATACTGTTTTCCAGAGTGGCTGCACCAGTTTGCATTCCCACCGACAGTGTAAGAGGGTCCTCTGTTCTCCAAATTCTCACCAACATCTGTTGTTTCCTTAGTTGTTAATTTTAACCATTCCTACTGGTGACTGCATATCTCTTTTTAATTTCATTTCAGAACCAGATGATGATATTAAGATTTGATAATCTTTATTTTTTCCCTACATAATTATTTTTATAGTGGCATTATTATATTTCTATATATTTACATTTGTATTATATTTGTATTTGTGTTATGTAGTTGTATTATTATTTTATATTTGTATATTTGTATTTTATGTTTGTATTATGTAGTAACCATGTTTTCAGTAGTCATGTAGACTCACACCTTGTTTAACTGGACTGTCCTATTGTTTCATAGTTTGATTTTGGGGCAGCTGAAGTATGTCTTCAAGTTATTATTTAAAGATAAGGTGATGTGTTTTCTGAGCTCTTGCCTATATGAGTGTATGTGCCACATGTGCTCATGCACAAACACTTGGCTGGTTATAGGTTTACTGGATAACAATCCTTTCTACTTTCAAACACTAAGCAGTACTCCTGGCATCTAGTGTTGCAGAAGGAAGTATGGCCCAAGTATGATTTTTTGTGTGTACATATATGTCCATGTGTAGGTTTACCTACACAAACACAAACACACATACCTACTTTTTAAAAGAATCTTAATGGTAGGGTGCAACCCCCGATTCTGCCCAATAAGGAGTAGTGGTGTTGATTTTAGTTAGATTGGCAAATACACAGACGAGGCTTTCCCAGAGCCAAACTTACTCATCCTTGAGAAAGGACACAGGGCAAGCAACCACAAAGTATGCATGGAGAGGGCTTAGTGAAGACTCCCAGGTATGGCTTCTTTGGCCCTAGTCACTCTTGACTAGGGAAGTGTGTAGTCATGAGAGATGAAGTTGACCCTTGGCCCCAGGGTTTCTTCAACTTTCATACCTAGGTAGCTACATAGGCCTTTTTGTTATGTGGGTTTGTGTACATATACTTAGTTAATCAGCTTGTCTTCTCAGGGGTGTGAGACTACCTCCCAATCTCCAGCCAGTACATGTCAACAATATCTGGTACTCATTATTCAATGAACAATCCCAGGAATGAAATACAGAGGCTTGGTTGGGTACATAGGCCTCAGTTGAATTCTCCTTTTGAATCTGACATAGACATGCTCCTTCTAATTCCATTACTTAGTATTGCGTCAAATGATGGTCCTAGAAATATCACCCAAGCAACCTGTTTCTAAGACAGACATGAGTTTATTGCTTACCTTGGTGTGTTGGGCTGAATAGTGGTCCCCCAAAGATGTTCACATCTCAATCTCTGGAACTTGTGAAGATGTCTAGTACAAGAGATTTTGCAGATGTGATCGAATTAAGGGTCTCGAGATAGGGAGATTCTCCTGAATTATCAGGTTGGGTCCAGTGTCATCACAAGGGTCCTTAAACATGAAAGAATGAGACAGAAGAGTCAGAGTCAGAGGAGAGGTGGGGATGATGGGATTGCTGGTGTTGGAGATGGAGGAAGGCACCATGAAGCAAGGAATGTACATGACCTTTAGATGCTGGTAAAGGCAAGGGAATGAATTTTCCTCTAGAACCTCTGGAGGGAGTGTAGTTCTCCCAGCACCTTGACTTTTGCCCAGTAAGGCCCATTTTGGATTTTGGACCTCCAGAACCATAAGACAATTAATTTGTGTTGCGTCCATCCATTAATTTTGTGGTAATTTGTTAATAGCAGCGAGAGGAAACTAATATACTTGCAAGGAAGAATGTGACAGAGTCTTGACAGTACCTCAAAATGGGAAGGGAGAATGTGGGATATTTATTAAGTCTTTAAAGGCTTGTTTAAGAGAAGGTTTCTTTAATGTGGGGCTTGATTAGCATTGGTTAAAGATCATGATACAGTGGTTTAAGATTGGGGGACACTGTAAGGCAAGGATCTTGAGGAGAGGGGCTGTAAGGGTCTTGAATCAATGAGTCAGTTGTTGCTTTCTGTTGAAGAGTTGATGAGATGTTCCTGGAATGAACAATAAATTTATTTGCGATTTATATTTTCCTGGGCAAGAGTTTCCTGGACTAGTAAAGTTTTGTTGAGGCAGACGGAATAATAAAGTCAGTAGGCTATGTGGGGGTAGATGATTTGGGGTCTCAGTTGCAAAGAGTATATGACTCAGGTTCAGATTTTCAGATATCCCTGAGGCTAGTAGAAAGGTTACACAGAGGCATCTGGTAATCTTCTCTTTCCCCGGGACTTTTTCTTTCTCCTTGCAACTCGAATATTTCAATAGAGTACAAGTAGGTTTTAGTCTGCACTTACCCAAATGCTAGGATTTTTACTTAGTTTAGAAAATTCTTGGGGCGCCTGGGTGGCTCAGTCATTAAGCGTCTGCCTTCGGCTCAGGTCATGATCCCAGGGTCCTGGGATCGAGCCCCACATCGGGCTCCTTGCTCAGCAGGAAGCCTGCTTCTCCCTCTCCCACTCCCCCTGCTTGTGTTCCCTCTCTCACTGTGTCTCTCTCTGTCAAATAAATAAATAAAATCTTAAAAAACAAACAAACAAACCTGCTTTTAAGAAAATTCTTTTTCTTGTTTATTTGTGAATTAATTTTCTGCTGCTGCTGTAACAAATTATCACAAACTTAGTGGCTCAAACAATAAGCTTTTCTTTTGTTTTATAGCTCTTCAGAAGGTCGACATGGGGCTCACTGGGGCAAAGTCAAGGTGTTGGGGCCCCATTCCTTCTGGAGGCTATTGGAGAGAATTCATTTTCTTGCCTTTTCCAGCTTTTAGAGGACACCATGTTCCTTGGCTTTTGACCCGCTTCCCCCATCTTCAAGCCCTTAATGGCAGCCTGAGTCCTCATGCTGCCATCTTTGGTGCTCCGCAGATGGGACTAGTTCCCTGCTCTTAAGCACTTGTGATTAGATTGGCCCCAGCTGAATCATGTGGTATAACCTCCCCATTTCAAGTAGACCTTAATCCTAAATATATCTGCAAAGTGCCTTTTGCCATGGAAGGTAACCTATTTCAGGTTCAGAAGATTAGGGTGTGGATCTTTGGGGGAGCTGTTAGTCTGCCTACCACTTCAGAGTAAGTCCTTTTCACACGTAAGCACATCCTTTACTTTTTGAGGGAACTGCTGCTCCCTTTTTCACAATATATTTTATGTATTTTCATAGGATTCATGTTTGTTTCATTTACCTAACAGGCTTGTGATTTGTCAAAAAAAACAAGGTGGATGGTTTCTCCTTGGCCCTCATACCTTCTTGATTATAGCGAAAACTTTAGCTCTTTAGCTGGAAGGATTTTTGTTTTGTTTTGTTTTTGTTTTTTTTTTTAATTTGACAGAGAGAGAGATAGTGAGAGCAGGAACACAAGCAGGGGGAGTGGAAGAGGGAGGAGCAGGCTTCCTGCCGAGCAGGGAGCCTGATGCGCGGGGCTCGATTGACCTGAGCCGAAGGCAGACGCTTAGCGACTGAGCCACCTAGGTGCCCCTGGAAGGATAAGTTTTATACACTGATGTTCTTGTGCTGGAGGGGGCTGTTCTCCCTCTGGTTACTGTGGTTACTATGTCACTGTCATCAGGGTGTGCAGTGTGGGTGGGAGGAAATCTCTTAACCTCTTTCTGATCAACCCCACTGTTGGAGCTAGTGAAAATATAGTCAGAGGTCTCAAATACCGTTGAGTCTTAGTTTCAACGGCTAGCCCATTTCTGTAGCTTTCTGTATTTTAAATGAGTGTTTGAATGAGAAGGTAGGGGAGGGAAAATTAAAAAATTAATCACTACCAGTTCATTGTTCTCTTCATCTAGCATCCCACCTGGATCAATGCTTTGTATTGTCCTTGGATGTGCTCACAACACTCTGTATAACTCTTGGTTCTAAAGTGCTTCATGCTGCTGAAGCTCTCTGTCTCATGTTCCCAAGTGTTCTGGGTATGCTCTGTCTTCATGGACACATTCTCTCTATGCCTCAGTGTCGGGAATAATGCTGTATGCCCTGCCCTCTTGCTTTCAGTGTGACTTGAAAACAGATATTCTGTTGTGCAGACATGTGCCAAAATTAGGTTTCCTGTTCAGCTTCCCTGAACTTCTAGCCAGTACGAACAGCCCCCTTGTTAATCACTTACTGCTCAATATCAGGCACACTAGGTGAAGAAAAGGACTTCTAACCTATAGGGAGATAGTAAATATAAGCTCTGTTGCCATTTTCTATTGTTATAGTCAAAAATGTGTCATGAATCATAATTGCTTCTGTTTCATTTCTGCTCCAGACTCACCTTGACATCCTGGAAAAAAGCGTGAACCCCAAGCAAGTCTACTTCCGCCAGGATGTTCTCTGCCAGACGCTGGGAGGGAATTCGTGTCCATTGGTGACTATCACGGCCATGCCTGAGTCTAATAGTGCTGACCACCTGGAGCAGTTCCGTGAGTAAAAAATGACAACCCTCTTTGAATATGTGGTGGTTATGGGGCGTCCTCACAGCCTTGGATGCTCCCTGTCCTGTTGAGATCAGAAGCTTCATAAAGGCCTGGGGACTAGACTGTCTTTATAGAAATGCACTCCCTACTCTTGGTACAACACGAAGGGTAAATATTAACGTTGCCCTGTTGTTAAAGGGAAAAAAAATAAATTGCAGACTGTCAGGGAGAGGAACTGGAGTCACACTTTCCAGCCAGGCCCTCTTCTGCCCATGCTCACTGCCATTATACCGATCCCAAGGCCAGACAAGGTCTGGAAAGGAAGGAAGTTGAGTTTTGGAGCCCTGGCTTAAGAATCCCCTTGATGGCTTGAATACCATTTGGATCTGAAGGGCTGACAATGAGGAGGAGGCTCTAGCCAAGAACTGTCCAACCAAACCAACACACAGGCAGATGCGCACATGCACACACACACACACACGTGTGCCCCCGAAATGTTAGAGCCCTGAGCACCAATGTGACTTACCTGTAACCAATTAGCTTTTAAAGTTGGCTTCTGACATATTTTAGACCTTAGATAGGAAAGAAAAACCTATCAGGATGAGGGCTGCTTTGCAATACAGAAAAATCTGTGAGATGAAAGAAAAGACTGGGGAGTGAAAAACCTGGCTAATTTATCCCCAGAAGATGCAGCCTTACCTGATGAAGTGCTAACCACGTTCAGGTGACTCTTTGGCGGATGCAAAATGTAATTTCTCACACCCCATCAGCATCTGACAATGGATGCTTAACAACCTGGCTAATCAACAACTGATTATCCCATCTGAATTAATGAGGCCTAAAATGCTTTAATGAATAATAAGGGATTTTCCAAAAATTCTCTTATGTGTTTCATGAATTTAAGAGCAATTTCTGTAACAGTCACGGAGTCCTCTGCTCGCACATGAGCAGTTTTTGGAAGTTAGAGACAGCGATCCTTCCAGAGCAACCTTCACTGGATGGTTATTTATGTAAGAAAGCAGATCTATGTAAGCCTGTGTTCTGGAGTTTCAGTTTCCAAATAGGAGCTAGGAAAGAGCCCAACATATGATCATGGGATGGAGCTGCCTCTGCTTTCGCATTTTTGGGTATGCTGACACTGGTGCTTTTGCTGGTGTCATAACTAGAAAGATCATTTCCTACTTGAAGGAGAGGACTTGAAACATGGTAAAGATCCCTAAATAATTTGGCACTCTGAAATAGTTCAGCTAATAAAAGAAAGAAAAGAAATCTTAGCACACCCTTCTAGGAATCAAAGGAGGCTGGTTTCTGTCTGCTGCCTAAGATTAGTAATCCTAAGTGCGTTCTCCTCTGTATCCTTACAGTTTTCTTTCTTAAACGTGTGCTGAGGGGCGCCAGGGTGGCTCAGCTGGTTCAGCAGCTGGCTCTTGGTTTCGGCTCAGGTCGTGATCTCAGGGTCCTGGGATCGAGCCCTGCGTTGGGCTCCGTGCTCAGCGGGGGATCCGAGTGGGCATTCTCTATCCTCCCTCTCCCTCTGCCCTGCCCCCTGCCTCTCTTCCTCTCGAATGGGTAGCTAAATCTTTAAAAAAAAAAGTGCTGATATGTCAGCTGTTGTTCATCTCAGATATCATGGGGTGCCCGGGTGGCTTTGTCAATGAAGCATCTGCCTTTGGCTAAGGTAAAGATCCCAGTGTCCTGGGATCAAGCCCCATGCCAGGCTCCCTGCTCAGCAGGGAGTCTGCCCTTTGCCCCTCCCCCTGCTCATGTTCTCTCTCTTTCTCTTTCTCTCTCAAATAAATAAATAAAACCTATAAAAAATGGGTGTATCCTGGATAGGAGTTGGGAGGGCCCAGATGATGGTGCCATGAATGCTGTTCATTCTCCTTGGGGCACAATAGACTTGCAAGTGACAGTTATTGAGCTGGACCCAGAGGAAACCAGGGCTCTGCCCCACAAGAGAGGATGAACAAGAGCCATTCTTCGTAAGTGTGCCAAACGCACAGTGGCCCAGGTCCCATGCTTAGAAGAAGGGCCGTGCACTTTGCTTCAATTCTTAAAAAGGTTTTCCACAAGAGGCCCTGCATTTTCATGTTGCAATGGGCCCTGCAAATTGTGTAGCCAGTCCTGAGACTAAGCTGACGTCACACAGCTAAAATGTGACGAAAGCTGGTGCCCTGATGTGCCACCATCCTTATCCTCTATTGCCAAGTCATGGAAGGCGAGTTGCAACCTACCTTGCTAGTACACTGAAAGTCTTATTTGTATGCACTGTGCAGCTGGTTGGTATCTTTTGTAATGGTTGAAGTCATCCATTTTACAGATGAGGTAAGTAGAGGCTCAGGGAGATTCACTACCCTGCTTTGTGGTGGTGCCCAGTTGGTTTCCGATTTTGTTATTCTGATTTCCAGAGTCCATACATACAACGGATGTCCTAACACAGTCGTTTGAGGAGGTGTGCTGGTTCCACTCTGAAACAGAACTTTCCCTCCTCCCTATTTCGTGTCCTTACATTATTAGAAGCTAGTTTAGCTGTTAAAGCAGCTCACGCTAAGTTGACCACAAATGAATGTATTACCCTCTTCCTGCTCACAATGAATTTTATTTTCCTTTCCTAACCCAGTGGAAGCCTTTGCATGGTGGATGTTTCAGATACTGTGGCAGGGAGGCAGGAGGAGAGGACATTCAGACCCAGTACAGATTGGGTGCCAGTACAGAGCTGAGATGGCGTGGCTGGGCCATCATGCTGGGAACAGGGTCTCGAACTATGGACTGTAGGTGCTGGGCTACAGAATAAACGATTTCCTCGGCAGGGTACTCTCTCTCTTTCTCTCTCTCTCTCTCTCTCTATATATATATATGAATATATGCCATTGCTGTGTTTCTGAGAGAGAAAAAAATCCAGCACAATATCAACACCACCTACCATCCAAATTGCAATTAACCATGCCTGTAAATCAGTAATAAAACCACTTAACTTCCTTTGAGCCACAAAATGGGATGCCTTGTTTTAGGACAGAAAAAATAGCAAATGGGCCAGCAGCTCAGGACTCTGGTGCCTGCAGGCCTCCATCCAGGGGAGCTCCAATAGTCTCACTGTCTTCCCCCCTCCAAGGGACTAGGTGAGTTTCAGGTTGCAGGTGTATTTAGCTGTGATTTGGCTACTTTCTGGTGCAGTGGCTGCCACTCACCCCTCATCAGGAGGTGTTTGTGCACTGAAAGAGTTTCTTTCCATTGTGTAGGGTTATCACTTCAGTCTGATTTCAGAAACCCAAGAAATAAGAGCATGGCTCTGGGGCCTGGGGAGAAGGCTCCTTGCTCGAGGCTGGATCCCCTGGTAGTCGGGCTGAAAGTTCCAGACCTAGAGATGATCAGGACAATTTACTGATTACTTTTACTCCTTCCCAGGGTCTGGGCTCCAGAGAGTCTCCCAGAAGGATTAATTTGGCTTGACTTATTTTTCCAAAGCATTTTTTTAAAAGTTATTTTCCTGGAAACATTTAGCCTTATTTTCTTGATAAATATATTTTCAGGTCAGTGGTAGCCCAATTTCCCTGGTGCATCTTTTATTGCTGTCTGGAGAATCGAGGGCCAGTGCCTCCTCTTGGTGCTCCCAAGCGAAGAAACTCACTTCACACCTCAGAGCCAGAACGTTGGCAGAGCTCCACAAGCAGTCACTCTCTGCCCTCTTCAGTGGGACAGCAAACAGGAAAGTTGTCTGAGAAATTGTCCCTGAAATCATTACAGAGGAGACAGGCTTGAAGAGAAATTCGTGATAAAAGGAACCGTTACAAAAGGACAAACAGCTCATTCTGGCTTCAGGCTCTTTAGTGGGTGAGGTATGGGGGGATTAGCAGGTCTAGGTCCTTGCTACCTGGGAAGGTTCCAGATGTCAGAGGAGCCCTGGACCTTTGGGATTTGTAGAACAGAGTGTGAATGTGGAGTAAACAGCATCCAAAAGAATGGGGTGGAGGCTCCACCAGGTTGGAGCAGAAGGCATCCCCTGAGCAGGTCTGGGGACAGGTTTGGCAAGTGAGGTTGATCCCGGAAGTTGCTTGTAGTGCTTTCTGAGACTAGGCTCCCTTAGCTAGTGGTGTTCCAGCATAATTACCCGCAGCATGGTTAGATCCTTCATACATTATATGTCAATAGGTACTTTGATTAGCAGCTGCTTTGAATATGCAACTTCTAAGTAGAGAGTTGAGAAGTCACATTTTCTTAAGTTTATGTACTTTTCATGGACGGTGTGTGTGTGTATGTGTGTGTGTGGTCTGCTTTTTGGATTTGCACTGAAGGTCACTGTTACTCAAACCCTAGTGGAGGTGGGTGAGAAACCCAGAGAGCAGAATGGTCCTGTGTTTCCAAAGCTCAGCCATTCCCCCAGCCAGGCCTGCTTTCTGCTTCTTACAGAAGAGCTGCCTCTGCTGTCACAGAAGTTTCTCCACTTGTCCTTATCTCTATTTTGCATATGGCAAAGTGAAGGCTCATTATAGGTGAAAAAGCAGCTGGAGGCCACCAGGGTGTAAAGTGGGGGCTCAGGGGGGAGACCTCAGGCCTCTAACCCACAGTTCCAGGGTGGAGCCCTCCTTCAGGATCTGCCCTCACTGGGAGATTTCCTGGAAAGGTGCACAAACAGGACATACTGCTGATTAAAGACCACCATCATATTGGGGGTTCCATTTTCTCCACATTTCCCCAATAACCTCATATTCTAAATTACCATTTCAGTCCAGAGGAAGTTGGGTCCCTTTTTAGTTTGGGGAGCTATGTCTCTGTGATGGATGCTTCATTTTTTTTTCAGGAGCTTTATTGCCAAATTTCCCCCCTTTGGATAATGATGCATTTAGATGCTGTAACAATATTGTCTTGGGGCGCCTGGGTGGCTCAGGGTCAGGTCCATGACCTCTCAGGTCATGACCTCAGGGTGGTGAGTTAGAACCCCTCACTGGGCTCCGCACTCAGCAGGGAGTCTGCTTGAGACTCTCTCTCTCCCTTTCCTCTGCTCCTAT